GCCCCATGTGCAGGACACGGGCCCTGATCAGAGGTCACTGACGGCAGTTGGGCACCGCACTGCACAGAGTGGCTCGGGCCCCTGGAGGGAGAGGACACAAGGCTCCTCCAGCTGTGTGGCCCCGGGCAAGTCAGCCCCCTTCTCTGGGCCTCCCTTTCCTCCCCTGAGAATGAGGCTAGGCCCGGGCTCGGTGGCTCAGCCTGTAATCCCACGCCTTTGGGAGGCTGGGGTGAGTGGATTGCCTGAGCCCGCAGGTTCGAAACCCGCCTAGGCAGGCGAGACCTCATCTCTACAATAAAATCCAAAAAAAAAAATTAGCCGGACGTGGTAGCACGCGTCTATAATTCTGGCTACTCGGAAGGCTGAGGCGGAAGGATCGCCAGAGCCCAGCAGGTTGAGGCTGCGGTGGCCGGGAACGGCCACTGCCCTCCAGTCTGGGCGACCGAGTGAGACTCCAGCTCGGAAAAAAAAGAAAAAAGAATGAGGCTAGGGAAAGTGCCTGCCACACTAGGTTTGGTGTGGATTCGGTGATGAGGGCTGTGAAGACAGCACTGTCACCACACCTACAGCAGGTCTCTTCTCCAAGGCCACCTGCTAGACTAGGGCGTGGGCAGGCCACATGCTGGACTGGGACAATATCTGAGGACTGGTGATGACCCTGGTGATTTAGGGCAGCCCCAGAGCAGGCTGCACTTTAGCTGGTGATCTGCTTGGGACACAGAGGGGTCCTCATGGGGGAAAACCCGAGTGGGGGCAGGAGATGGAATTGGGGGGATGGGGTTCCACTCTCAGCAACTCTAGAGGGATTTTCCAGAAGCTGCTGTTAGTTCTGGATCCCAGCAGGGCAGAGATGGAGACTTTGCTGGACCACAAGGTGGTCACACCCAGCACGTGGTGGGGAGAGGGCAGGCAGCAGGAAGCCCCTTCTCTGCAGGGCCCCTGGTGCATTTGGTTGGTGCTGCCTCCCATGGCGTATCCTCCCCACACGCCTGCCTTGGAACCGAGAGCTCACCAGCCAGCACACTGAGTGTCTGGGATCACACCCGCAGAGTGATGCACACACAGAGCCCACGCTTCTGTATCATCCATGCCCATCCCGTGGGCTCTCCGGTGCCCTCATCCAACAGAGCCAGGCAGGGTTCTGCTGCAGAGGCACAAAGAGAGGAAGGTTGAATGTCCCTCCCAAGGTCACACAGCGCACCAGGGGCACACAGTGTGCTAGGGTATTGCCTGCTGGCCACTGACTCCATTGTCAGAGCAGGGACCTTGAGCTGGAGTGGGCAGGGCAGAGTCCAACCATTGAGGGGTGAGCAGGCTGAACAAGCCCTTACAGTCTGGCTACTCCCTCTTGCATTTGCCTGGTCACCTGCGGGCTCTGCCCCTCCCTGTAGCAGTGCAGTCCTCTGCTGAGCATGTATCCTCTGATCATACATCCCTGAACCTGGGAATGACCACAGGCCAGGTCACCAAGAGCCGGACCCAGGCCAGCACTCCACGTCGCCTGACCTCCATGAGCTCCTGCACTGGCACAGTGATGTTTGTGTCTCCTGGAATTAGAGTCCATTCAGAGCCAGTGTCCAGGAGTTCCCAGAGGTCTGACCATGTCTTTTCCCCAGATTACAGCCTGCTGGTCAAAGGCCACAGGTCCCTTTGGAGAAGATTGCAGAAAAGAGTAACAGGATAAGAATTGGGGTCCTTCCTCAAGGGGACCTGGCTCCCCTCATCCAGGGATTTGGGTGTATAACCTGGCTCAGCCTGGAAAATGATCAAGGGCCAGGGCTCTGGATTTTTATGATTCATGGTAGACTTTTGTTCACCTGGCCTAGAACTCTTCTGCTTATACAGATCAAGAATTCAGAGACAGGTCAGACACAATGACTCAAGCCTGTAATCCTAACACTTTGGGAGACCGGGGCGAGAGGATTGCCTGAGCCTGCGGGTTCGAGACCAGCCTGGGAAACATGGTGAGACCTCGTCTCTACAATAAAATCAAAAAATTAGCTGGGAGTGGTAGCGTGCCCCTGTAGTTCTGGCTACTTGGAAGACTGAGGTGGAAGGATCACCAGAGCCCAGCACGTCAACGCTGGGGTGGCCACGAACATGCCACTGCACTCCAGCCTGGGCGACAGAGTGAGACTACAACTCAAAAAATAAAGAATTCAGAGGCACCGGGCCAAGTGGCTACACCTGTAATCCCAGCACTTTTGGAAGCAGAGGCAAGAGGATTGCCTGAGCCCACGGGTTTGAGACCAGTCTGGGCAATTTGGTGAGACCTTTTCACTACAATAAATCAAAAAATTAGCCAGATATGGTGGCGTGTACCTGTAGTTCCAGTATTTGGAAGGCTGAAGCAGAAGGATCCCCTGAGTCCAGCGGGTTGAGGCTGCAGTGACCGTGAGTGTGCCACTATACTCCAGCCTCGGCAACAGAGTGAAACTGACTCAAAACAAACAAACAAACAAAAGAATTCAGAGACCAGGCATTGCGGCTCACACCTGAAATCCCAGCACTCTGGGAGGCCAAGGTGAGAGGACTGCTTGAGCCCAGGAGTTCAAGACCGGCCTGGACAATATAGTGAGACTTCATCTCTACTAAATAAAAAAAAAAATAGCCGGGTATAATGACATGTGCTTGTAGTCCCAGCTGTTCAGGAGGCTGGGTGGAAGGACTGACTGAACCCAGGAGGTTGAGGCTGCAGTGAACTATGATGGTGCACGCCAATGAATGACAGAGTTAAGACCTCAACTCCAAAACAAAAAATCTTACACCCTGCCCCTCAGCTGTGGCATTCCCAGGTAGAACACCCTTTCTCTCACTGTTTATTGTGCAGATACACTGCACTCTGCAAGTCCCCCATGTGGAACAGACCACTCTTGCTTTGGACAGACCACCTTGGTGTTGAGGGCTCCTTTCTCTGAAATCCTAAACAACTCCTCCCAACCAGTCTTGGAGCTTTCCCTTTTGAGAATTCCCCTGCCACTACCTCTGGGGCAATGCCAGCTGCCAGTTCAGCAGGATACAACATCTATCCTTAATACCCATCCCACATGTTCCCCAGGTTTCCATCAGTATAAATTGGGAAAATGGTGCAGTTTGTCTGGAGTGTAGTGTACTGCTGGAGTCCAGCTCCAGCAAGTTCAGGGTTTCCCGAAGGATGAGCAGCATCGGCAAATGAATAGATACAGACCCAGTGCTTGTGACGGAATGTTCATTTATTGTTAGCAAACTTACAATATTTATAGCATTTTGTTAAACAAGTTCTTGGGTGACACACACAGAAAAGTTTTTACACTTTTCCAAAACATCATTCAAGTTTCCCATGATCTAAGGTCAAGTTAGGGACATCCAGTTTGTACCCTTCCGGGTATTTTTTTCTTGGTTTCTTAAAATCAGATATAGCTTTCCATGACATGATAAAGCACAGGTAAAAACAAAGCCTTCTTGTACTTATGGGTTTTTATGAACTTGTGTGTGTGTGTGTGTGTGTGTGTGTGTGTGTGTGTGTGT